ATATATATATNTGTATTATATATATAATATATATATATATATAATATATATATTATATATATATATATATATATATATATATATATATATATGTATATATATATATATATATCTTTGTGTGTGTTTGTGTGTGTTTATGTGTGTATGTTTGTGTTGGTGTTTTGTGTTTGTGCTTTTAGCAAGCTTCGAACAATGTTTCTAACTCGTAAAATTTGTCCACACAATTCAGCCCACTCGGCCAGTCTGCGCAGTTTACACACAACTTCCAGGCGATGTGCGGCTGTTACGGCTTCTGCACCGTCCATCTCAGGAAATCCCTCATATCCTGAATGGACACCTCAATCTCGAAGGACAGGTATAAAGCACCGGTTTAATATTTTTCTATTCGCATTTTTATTAGTATGCATATATTTGCGGTGTTTTGGCTATCGATGATCTGTATGTATGCGTGTACAGAGTTATGTTTTATACACATGCTTTTGCTGCACATATGTGTATGGATAGAAGACATTCCTGTGGAATCCCTGTAGGTACACAGGCATAAGCACACACACACATACACTTTTATACATATTTATGTATATACATTCATATAAGAAAATATACATTCATATTATATATATATATATATATATATCTATATAAACATATATGTATGTGTATATGTATATGTATATGTATACACAAACATATATATATATATATATGTATATATATATATATATATAGTTGTAGAAATATATCAAAGTAACATAAGAGCTTAGCTCCGTCGACTGTGTGCTTCTGGAGTACGACGTACATTATTGGGTGCATATTGTCTTCAGAGGGGTGTATGCATATGCCATATTGGTTGTCGTGTTTTATGTTACTATGTCGTATTGTTTACGGTTACACATCGAACAGGCAATCGACTGTATATTTCTGTGATCTCTCTACTTAAGTTTATGTCTCTTGGCAGGCTCAATACATATATAACTCTCGCTGACTCAGGATGTATATAGCAGTCGTCTTGGCAACGCTTGTTTGCCGAGTCCAGTATATATCTACCATCCCAGGTCTTCAACATCTGACACAGAGTGTTTTTATTTATAAAGGCGTTGTTGGTTTCAAAAAGGGCATGTTGACTGTATGGTCAGAAGAGGGAAAGATACTGCCTATCACTATTTTACAGCTGGAGGACAATCAGGTAGGTCGGATCGTTCTCATATATGTATGGATGAAGTATATTAGATTATATATTTGTTTATATATATTTGTTTGTATATATTTTCTTATATATATTTGTTTATATTATAT